CTCCCACCTGGGGCTCACACTGATGTAAGGTGAGGCCTGATGAGCCTGGGCAGCTTCAACTCTGGTGGAAGGAAAAACGATCAAGACCAGCTTTTAAGGTATTTTCTATAGAAAATCATTGAGAATGGGCTGGGCGCAGTGGCTCACACCTGTAATCCCAGCTACTTGGGAGGCTGAGACAGGAGAATCGTTTGAACCTGGGAGGCAGAGGTTGCAGTGAGCCAACGTTGCGCCACTGCACTTCAGCCTAGGCAACGAGCAAAACTCTGTCTCAAAAAAAGAAGAAAATGATTGAGAATGGATTATTCATTTCATGTTGTCAGAAGTGTTTCCAAAGAGGGCAGATTCTTCCACTTATATTAGTACTATGTTTGCCAGTTAACATTTGGCCATGTTTGCTTTTCCTGTGGTTTTTCAGTACACATGTATATACCGTTACATAGGGACCCATTCATCCCCACGCATGTTCTGATGAGATTGTTTGAGTACAGACCTGGCGATGCTTCACCTGGTAGCCTCAGCGTGCAGCCTGGGAACGACCGCGTCCTCCACAGCACCACAGCACCTCTCGACCAGCTTCCAGTCCCGTCATTCTTCATTAAAAATAAGACTTCCTGGGCCCCTCTCCCTCTGTCCCCCGCAGAGATCACTCTGCTCGTCTTCAGGCCACTGAAGTAGTCCCGGAGGGCCTGGGTCCGCGAGCGTGGTGAAAAGCGATCCTCCGACCTCCTCATCTGTGACACTCGAGGGCTCCTCATCCACTGTAGGAAGTGCAGAGGACATGGCCCAGGCAGTGCCTGCGGGGAGACGGCGCTGGCCTGGGCTGCGCGGTGAGCAGGGCTCCTCAGGCTTCCTGGGCCCTTGTCCTCCCAGGCTGGTGGCACTGTGTGCCTGTCGTGGGGGGGCGGGTGCAGGTGGCGGGAAGGCCCAGGTGTGGCTTGCAGGCCTCTAATGCCAACTGCACCACCTTGAAGCTCCACTCCAGCTATGCTGTGGCCCCATGGCCAGGTCTGGGGTCGTTTCTTATGACACCACCTGTCCTATTTTGTTACCCGGTCCCTGCGCTAGTTAAAAAGCAAGTAGAAAGGTTAAGCACCACTTGTACAGTCCCCTGGTAGCTAGGTGACAGCCCCTCTGTCAGTCACATCAGTCATCAGGGCTAGAAGGGTCCAGGCTCACTGGACCTGTCCAGCCTCCTCCTGACCATCAGCAAGGGCACCACCCACTCTGAGCTGCTGTGGCCCATGATGCCACCGTTTCCTTCCTCTCTAATTGTTCGGGCAGGCCTGTGAGCCCACAGAATGACAGCCTCAAGCTCTGGGCCTCAGGGTGGGCCCCTGGCAAGGATTCTGTTCTTACCACTGATCTTTCATGCTGACGGAAAGGCACAGGGCAGGCGGGCGGCCAGCTGTCGCGGGCTTGAGTGAAATCTGTGGATAAGTGCGGAGACAGGAGACACTGCACTGGTGACACCTCAGGGCCTCGGGGCCACACCAACAGGGGCCGGCTGGTGCCGTGACCCAGTCACAGTGCCTGTCTCTGTCATCAGCTTTTCCTTTTCCCCCATATTTTCACCTTGGTTAGAGGGCAGGAGGTCCGCTCGGTTTGCCAGCAACCTCACATTGATAAGGAGGCCGGGCGCGGTGGCTCAAGCCTGTAATCCCAGCACTTTGGGAGGCCGAGACGGGTGGATCACGAGGTCAGGAGATCGAGACCATTCTGGCTAACACAGTGAAACCCCGTCTCTACTAAGAAATACAAAAAACTAGCCGGGCGAGGTGGCAGGCGCCTGTAGTCCCAGCTACTCGGGAGGCTGAGGCCGGAGAATGGCGTGAACCCGGGAGGCGGAGCTTGCAGTGAGCTGAGATCTGGCCACTGCACTCCAGCCTGGGCTACAGAGCGAGACTCCATCTCAAAAAAAAAAAAAAAAAAAAAAAAGAGTAAAGGCACTTCTAGCTCTCCAATCCTGGGATTTTATGAGATATGACGGGTTTTGTGTCCCTGGAAGGATGTAGGACTGTGCCTGTCATTGGGTTGGTTCTCATCTAGACAGAGCGGGTGCCTGTTTATTGAGCAGCCTGGGTCTCCACCCCCAGAAGTGTGCGTAGGAGGATCTCTGAATCCATTCTTTTCATTCCCCACTCTGCCGTGAATACTGTTGCAAGCATCCACATTAATATCTATTTTGTAATTCTTTTTTTTTTTTTCTTTTTTGAAACGGAGTCTTGCTCTGTCGCCAGGCTGGAGTGCAGTGGAGCAATCTCAGCTCACTGCAACCTCCACCTCCTGGGTTCAAGTGATTCTCCTGCCTCAGCCTCCCGAGTAGCTGGGATTACAGGCACCTGCCACCACACCCAGCTATTTTTTGTATTTTTGGTAGAGACGGGGTTTCACCATGTTGGTCAGGATGGTCTCAATCTCTTGACCTCGTGATCCACCTGCCTCAGCCTCCCAAAGTGCTGGGATTACATATTTTGTCATTCTTAAAAACTGATGGATGATCCAGGACATCCGTGCTATCTCCAGGAGAAGTATCCTCATTGAAAGTAAAGCAAGCTTCTTTTTTATTGGCTGGGCATGGTGGCTCATGCCTGTAATCCCATCACTTTGGGAGGCTGGGGTGGGAGGACTGCTTAAAACTAGGAGATTGAGATCAGCCTGGGCAACAAAGTGAGACCCACCCCGCATCCATACAAAAATTAAAAAGATTAGCCAGACATGTTGGCATGCACCTGTAGTCCTAGCAACTCAGGAGGCTGAGATGGAGGATCCCTGGAGCCCAGGAGTTCCAGGCTGCAGGGAGCTATGATCATACGACTGCATTCCAGTCTGGGCAACGGAGTGAGACCCTGTGTCTTCATTCTTAAAAAAAAAAAAAATTTGAAATAGAAAGTCAAGCAAGGCTTGCAAAGGACAAGACAAGACCCAAGGCTCTCAGGACCAGCCTAACATCTCGGAGCCCAGTACTGCACGGCAGGCACCCTCCATCAAACGGAGGCTGTTACTGTTTCTATTACTATTACTACTATTCTTAGTCCTTAATTTTGCCCAGCCTTGGCCAAATCTCTGATTTCCTAGGAAGACTCAATCCCAAACAGATGTGTGCAAAGGTCCGATTATCAGACAGGATGCAAAAACAAAGCACGACACACCTGGACCTCCTGGGAAGTCTTTGTCCAGCACTCGCTGCATGTGGAAAAGCAAACTCAGACAACCAGGGCATAAAACACACTCATTGAACTCATCAGAAATGCAAGGTGATTATTTGAGATTTATTTTATCCTTGCCTTCAAAATTCTGATTCGTGAAGGAAATGCAAGTCAGTCCGATTCCAAGCCAGCCAGAGCAGCCCTCAGGTCGCCAGCACTCTCGCCCTTTCTGACTTCAAGGGACAAAGGGTTTTAAAGGCCCTCTGTTTTCTGAATCAGACTTAATAGGGCTGACGGAGTCTGGTTTCCTACTTTAGTAAGGGTGGAAATAACACTGATAAATCAAGTTCTGGTGGTGTTCGAGCCTCACACCCAGGCAGCGGAGTGCGGGCTGGGGAGCTTGCGGGAACGTGCTGCGCTGGCCCAGCTGCCCTGCCGCACCCACGGAGCACTCAACGCAGAGCTGAGAGACAGCGGGTCTATCACACACGATGGACTTCCAGAACTGTTCCTCCACCCCCGTGTGTGTGAAGGAATGAGTGTTCCTTTTTTCCTGCACGTTGACACTGTTAAAATAGTTCACATAAGGGCCGGGTGAGGTGGTTCACGCCTATAATCCCAAGGGGATTTGGGAGGCCAAGGCAGGTGGATGACTTGAGGTCAGGAGTTCAAGACCAGCCTGGCCAACATGGTGAACCCCCGTCTCTACTAAAAATACAAAAATTAGCCGGGCATGGTGGCGCATGCCTGTAATCCCAGCTACTGGGGAGGCTGAGGCAGGAGAATCGCTTGAACCCAGAAGGTGAAGGTTGCAGTGGGCCGAGATCACGCCACTGCACTCCAGCTTGGGAGACAGAGTGAGACTCCGTTTTAATAAATACATAAATAAATAAAAATAGCTCACACAGACGGGCAGAAGGCTGTTCCCCTAGAAGGTTCTGGATGGGTCTGGTCTTCCTCAGAACTCTGAGGCATCACGTATGAGGCATCAGAAGAGAGTGGGATTTTCACTTTGCCGTCTTTCACTCCAGGGTTCCTAGTCAGGGCCTGGTCAAATCTGAGTTGCTGCAGCTCCCTAGGGGCAGCTGTAGCGGCTGTTCTGCCCCAAGACCTGCAGGGACCCTCATCTTCCTACGGAGACAGGCAGGTGCCGCGGCCTCCGGGACCCACTGGCTTCCTAGCTGGGTGCTTGGGAAGCACCTGGAGCAGCAGAAACAGCCACTGGTGCTGAGGAGTCAGGAGAGAGAGAGCGGCGAATGAGCTCTGGCTGCCCGAGCAGATTCCACGGCCAAAGCAGGGCATCTGGGTATGGTGGGAGCTGGGTCCTGGCGGCTGCAGGCTGTGCACGTGGTCAGGACTCAGGGAGGTCCGGGAGTAGGGCCAGGACATGGGGGAGCACCTGGGAGCTGCTCTCTTCCTCCCCTGCTTCCCTCAAATCGATGTCCTCTAGTTCCTACGGCCTTGGGGGCTCTGAGGGAAGCGACTCTGCACACGGATGGCAGGAGCTCTGTGCCCTCAAGCCTGCCACCCCGGAGAGCTTCCCAGGGCCTGGAGCCCAAAGTGCCATCGAAGTCGCAGTGGGAACACCTTGCCAAGCGGAGGCGCTCCCTGCCTAATGGGATAATAAAGCACTTTGTCACCCGTGAGTGAGAGGTCTGATAAAAGCAAAATATTATCACACCATCTGTGATTAGGAGGCAGCTGCACACTGGAGACACAGCCACATTTATGAGTAAATAGAATTTGTTTCTGTGCTCTGATTATGAAGGTCACGGTGGTTTAACCCTGTTGCGGAGGCCTCAGATACATTATCTGCTCAAATAGAACTGGGAAAGAAAACACCGGCGGTCATTAAAAGCAAATTACCTTGTTGTACGAAGATAGAAGGGAGAAGGCCGCAGAAATCTTGAGGTGTGGGGCCCTGGGGGTGCCATGGAAGGGCAGCATCTCTGGAGGCACCTGCAGGCAGGAGCTGGGACATGGGAGTGACCTGCCAGTCCACCGGCAGCCAGAGATTCAAAGAGGTCCAGGGCTCCCTGTGGCTTCCTGGAAAGCTCTCAGGATATTTGTAGGCAATTTTGGAAGCTGCCTAGAGTGCAGGAGGTGAGGGTGCCTGTGCCTTCTTTACCTGTGAAAACAAAAGGAAGGATTTCTGTGAGATGAAATCGGCCTGTGTTTCTGGTTTTTATTTATTTATTTATTGCGGCAGAGTTTCACTCTTGTTGCCCAGGCTGGAGTGCAATGGCACGATCTCAGCTCACTGCAACCTCTGCCTCCCGGTTCAAGCCATTCTCCTGCCTCAGCCTCCCATGTAGCTGGGACTACAGGTGTGCACCACCATGCCTAGCTAATTTTTTTGTATTTTTAGTAAAGATGGGGTTTCACCATGTTAGCCAGGCTGGTCTTGAACTCCTGACTTCAGATGATCCACCGCCTTGGCCTTCCGAAGTTCTGGGATTACAGGTGTGATCCACCATGTTCGGCCGTGTTTCTGGCTTTAAATGCATAAAAGGACTTGCTTATGTTTTGATGCATTGATGCATTGGTTTTATTTTCAAAGTGAAATCTCTGGCCAGGGGATCTCTTTGGAAGGGGGGCTGGCACAGCACCATCTCTACACTGGATACTGTGGGGAGTGAAAAAAAGAACCAGAAACTGGCCACAGGCACCGTGGCTCACACCCGCAATTCCAGCACTTCGGGAGGCCGAGGCAGGTGTATTGCTTGAGCTTAGGAGTTTGAGACCAGCCTGGGCAACACGGCAAAACTCCATCTCTACAAAAAGTACAAAAAAATAATTAGCTGGGCGTGGTGGCATGCATCTGTAGTCCCAGCTAATCGGGAGGCTGAGGCAGGAGAATTTCTTGAGCCTGGGAGGTTGAGGCTGCAGTGAGTCATCATTGCATCACTGTACTCCAGCCTGGGCGATAGAGCCAGACCATGTCTCAAAAAAAGAAAAAAAAAACATATCTGCAATAGGCAGATTCATAAATGGAGATGACCAGGGGCTTGGTGCAGGTGCAGGGGCAGGGGCAGGGGATGTCATGGTTAATGGGTGTACAGTTTGTGTGGAGATGATGAAAAAGTTTGAGGTATAGCTAGTGGTGATGGCTACATCGCATTTCAAGTGTATCTAACACCACTCAATTGTACACTTACAAATAGTTAGAACGATAAATGCTGTTATGTATATTTTACCACAATTTAAAAAAAAAAAAAAGGACTAGATGGATGCAGTGGCTCATGCCTGTAATCCCAATACTCTGGGAGGCCAAGGCAGGAGGATCACTTGGGTCCATGAGTTCAACACCAGCCTGGGCAACATGGTGAGACCCAGTCTCTGCAAAATTTTAAAAAATTAGCCAATTAGTGGCGTGTGCCTGTGGTCCCAGTTACTTGAGAGGCTGAGGCAGGAGGATCACTTGAGCCCAGGAGCTCAAGGTTACAGAGAGCCATGATCACACCACTGCACTCCAGCCTTGGTGACAAAGCAAGACCCTGTCACTAAAATTGAAAAACACTTTATTGCTAAAAAATGCTAAGTGTCATGGCCCTTTAGCAAGCTGCAGTGTTTTTGCTGGTAGTCTTGCCTCGATGTGGATATCTACCAACTGATCAAGATGGTGGTTGCTGAAGGTTGGGGTGGCTGTGGCAATGCATCTCCCTCCCTCCTTCCCTCCTCCCCTCCCCCTCCTCCCCTCCCCCTCCCCCTTCCCCCTCCCCCTCCCCTCCCTTCCCTTTCCTTTCCCTTCCCTTCCTCTCCCTTCTTTTTTCCTTTGTTAGGTGAAGGGTTTCACTCTGTTGCCCAGGCTGGAGAGCAGCACCACAATCACAGCTCACTGTAGCCTTGAACTCCTGGGCTTCAGCAATGCTCTGGCCTCAGCCTCTGGAGTAGCTAGGATGACAGGTATGCACCACCACGCCCAGCTAATTTTTTGGTAGAGGGCTCTCCATATGTTGCCCAGGCTGGTCTCGAACTCCTGGGCTCAAGCAATCCTCTCACCTCAGCCTTCCAATGTGCTGGGATGATAGGCATGAGTCACCATGCCTGGCTGTAATTGCCTAAAATAAGACGACAATGAAGTTTGTCACATTGATTGACTCTTCCTTTCATGCCAGATTTCTCTGTAGCATGCAATGCTGTTTGATAGCATTTTACCCACAGTAGAACTTCCTTCAACATTGGAGTCAATCTTCTCCAACCCTCAAATTTATGGAATATTCTAAATCCTTTATTGTCATTTCCACAATGTTCATAGCATCTTTACCAAGAGTAGATTCCAGCTCAATAAACCACTTTCTTTGCTCATCCCTAAGAAGCCACTCCTTATCGGTTCATGTGTTATCCTGAGATTGCAGCGACTCAGTCCCATCTTCAGGATCCATGACTAGTTCTAGTTCTCTTGCTGTTTCCACCACATCTGCAGTCACTTCCTCCACTGAAGTCTTGAACCCCTCAAAGTCATCCATGAGAGTTGGAACCAGCTTCTTCCAAACTCCTATTGTGATATTTTGACCTCCTCCCATGAATCATGAATGTTCATAATGGCATCTAGGATAGTGAATCCTTTCCAGGAGGTTTTCAATTTACTTTACCCAGATTCATCAGAGGAATCACTATCTATGGCATCTGTAGCCTCACAAAATGTATTTCTCAGATAAGCACACTTGAAAATCAGATTTACTTCTTGATCCATGGACTGCAGAATGCATGTTTCTTGTCTGTTAGAAGACATGAAAACAACATTAACTTCTCGTACATCTCCATCAGAGCTCTTGGGTGACCAGGTGCATTGTCAATGTACAGTCATATTTTGAAAGGAGCCTTTATTCTTAGCAGTAGGTCTCGACTTGGGCTTACCCTATTCAGTGAACGATGCTGTACACAGATGTGCTGCCATCCAGGCTTTGTTGGGCCATTTACAGAGCACAGGCAGAATAGATTTAGCATCATTCTTAAGCACCCTAGGATTTTCAGAATGGTAAATGAGCTTCAACTCAAGGTCACCAGCTGCACTGGCCCCTCACAAGAGAGTCAGCCTGTCCTTTGAGGCTTTGAAGTCAGACACTGACTTCTCCTCTCCAGCTATGAAGGTCTTAGATGGCATCTTCTTCCAACAGAAGGCTGTTTTTTCGACACTGAAAACCTGTGTATGAAGTCACCATCATCAAATACCTTAGCTGGATCTTCTGGAGAACTTGCAGCAGCTTCTCCGTCGGCACTTGCTGCTTCACGTTGCACTTTTATGTTATGTAGACGGCTTCTTTCCTTCAACCTTATGAACCAACCTCTGCCAGCTTCCAGCTCTTCTTCTGCAGCTTCCTCACCTCTCAACCCTCCCAGAAGGCCCTTGGAGTTAGGGCCTGGCTCTGGATTAGGCTGTGGCTTAGGGAATGTTGTGGCTGGTTTAATCTCCTATTCAGAGCACTAAACCTCTCTCCGTATCAGCAGTAAGGCTCTTTCTGTCTTATTATTCAGATGTTTACTGGAGTAGCACTTTTAATTTCCTTCAACAACTTTTCCTTTGCATTCACAACTTGGCTAACTGACATAAGAGGCCTAGCTTTCAGCCTATCTCAGCTTTCAACATGCCTTCCTCACTAAGCTTAATCATTTCTAGGTTTTGATTGAAAGTAAGAGATGTGTGACTCTTCCTTTCACTTGAACACTTGGGACATTGCAGGGTTATTACATGGCCTAATTTCAATATTGTTGTGTCTCAGGGAACAGGGAGGCCCCAGGAGAGGGAGAGAGACAGAGGATAGCCAGTTGGTGGGGCAATCAGGACACACACATTTATCGATTAAGTTCACCATTTTATATGGGCAAGGTTTGTGGGACCTCAAAACAATAGTGACATCAAAGGTCACTGATCACAGATCACATAACAGATATAATAATAATGAAACAATTTGATACTTGTGAGAATTCTTGGTAATTGCAAGAATTCCCAGATGTGACACAGACATGAAGTGAGCACAGGCTGTTGGAAAAACAGTGCCGACAAATTTACCTTGTGCAGGGTTGCCACAAGTCATCAATTTGTAAAAAATGAAATCTCTGTGAAGCGCAAAAAAGCAAAAAGCACGATCAAACGAGGTCAGCCTGTGCTTAATCTGATGACATGTGTGCATCTGAAGACCTGCAATAAATTAATCATGAGAATAAATGGACCAGGTAGTAAAAGGTAATACATACATATTGCAGACTGAAGAAAAAACATAATTTGCATCACATGTCCTCACTCATTTGTGGGATCTAAAAATCAAAACCACAGAACTCATGGAGATAGAGGGTAGAGGCTGGTTACCGGAGGCTGGGAAGGGGAGTGGTGCTGGGTGTGGGGGGGGGAAACCACGACGACAACGACAGGGACACGACATTGCCGGGTAGGTAGGGAGGGTTAACAATGGGTACAAAAAAATAGAAAGAATGAATAAGACCTAGTATTTGATAGCACAGCAGGGTGACAATAGTCAATAATAATTTAACTGTACATTTAAAAATAACTAAGAGTCTAACTGGTTTGTAACACAAAGAATAAATGCTGGAGGGGATGGGTGCACCATTCTCCATGAAGTAATTACTACGAGTTGCTTCTCATGTCAAAACATCTCATGTACCCCACACATCTATATACCTACTATGTGCCCATAAAAATTAAAATTTAAGGCCGGGCGCGGGGGCTCACGCCTGTAATCCCAGCATTTTGGGAGGCCGAGGCGGGCAGATCACGAGGTCAGGAGATCCAGACCATCCTGGCTAACACGGTGAAACTCTGTCTCTACTAAAAATACAAAAAAACTAGCCGGGCGCGGTGGCGGGCGCCTGTAGTCCCAGCTACTCCGGAGGCTGAGGCAGGAGAATGGCGGGAACCCGGGAGGTGGAGCTTGCAGTGAGCTGAGATCCGGCCACTGCACTCCAGCCTGGGCGACAGAGCGAGACTCCGTCTCAAAAAAAAAAAAATTGTGAACCTGAGTTAAAAGTTACATTTCATTATTATTATTATTATTATTATTATTATTATTTTGAGAAAGAGTCTCACTCTGTCGCCTAGGCTGGAGTGCAGTGGCGCGATAGCTCACTATAACCAGATTCAAAAAAAAAAAAAAAGAAATTAAAATTTTAAAGAAGAGATAATAAGATGTAGTAAAGCTATTAGCAACCACCCCCCGCAACTTGCATTTCCTTTACAGAGTTACCTACTATTAAAAGAAACACTGCAAGTTTCCAATTACAGGGATGGGCCCCCTGCTCTGAAAAGCCAGAACCCTCAGCCTCCTGGGTGCGGCCCTGCCTAAAGCAGGGACATTGACAGACGCAGTTCGCAGGAGCCAGCTAAGCCTGAGGCTTAACGGGCCGGAGCCTCGTCTCAGGTGCCTGGCCTGTCCGAGCTTTCTAGAAAAGACGCTGGGCGCTCTCATGCTCCTCACAAAGTCCCTTGCCGGGAACTGATCCTTACACTTTTATGTTTTAAATTTCTTTTCTTTTTTTCCCTCTCCTTTCTTTCCTTCTTTCTTTCTTTCTTTTTAATATCACCATACAAGAGGACATTCTTTGCTTGGCAGAAAGGCTGCTAAGCGGGAAGGTGAACCGCAATGTTAACAAAAGGCAGATACGAAACTACAGGCTTTGTCCTAAAAACGGGCTGTTTCTTCCACGTTCTCTGAGTAATAAAATATCTAAAATATTACATATCAATACTTAAAAAAAAAAAAAAAAAACGGGTTCACTTCTAGCCTGAAGCTCAAACACCCGTTCCAGGCCCCGAGAGTCCCTGTTCTTTCGCTTCCAGCGCCCACTTCAGCAGTTTCTTCCCGACCCGGACGTCCTCAGGGCGGCGATCGGGGGTGAAACGCCCCGGGCCGAGCCCCTGGGTCACCGCGTCCTGAGCCCACCCAGCAAACCCCGAGTCCAGGTCTGCGCGGCGCCCCCGACCCCGTCCCGGGCTGGAGAGGCCCCGCCCGCGGCCCCCGGCCTGACCCCGGCCCGCCCCGGCCCGCGGGCGATAAGGCCGCGCCTTTGTTCCTGCCCCCAGCTGGGTAAACCGCGCCCCGCCTCGCTCGCCGCCTCGGGGGCACCTTTGTCCGGCCCGGGGCGCGCATTGTCCGCACGGTGTGTACACGGGGAGGGGCGCCAGGTGCGCGGGCGGAATGTAGGGTCGGCGCGGGGCCGGGGGGCGGGCCCGGGGCCGGGGGGTCCTCAGGAAGCCTCGGCTGGGCCCGCCTCCTCCCCGAGGGTCCCCTGCGGCCGCGGGTGGGGGAGCCTGGGGGGCGGAGCGGGGCGCGCGGGGGCGCAGGCGGCGGAAGGGGGGCGCGAACCCGGGGACCCCCGCGCTGGACAAACCCGCGGCCGCCGCCCGTTCCTGTCGGGTCCAGCTTGAGACACACCTGGCGCGTCGTAAAGTGATTTACGAAGTGAAAGTGTGAAACCAGGCCACCAGCTGGAGGCCCGGCCGGCTTTAGGAGTTTTATTAGGTGCCCTATTATGGAAAATAAACTTTAATCCCACCATAAAAACCAAATCTGAAAAACATATTTGCCCTTGTGGTCGGGAACGCCGCGGCATTCCTGGTGGAGGTCACACCTCCGAGGGGATTAGTTTTATGGAGGGAGACCGCGCTCCGCAGGACTTTGATACCGGGGGGCTGGGGGGCGCCCGCATTGCCGCCGCGCCCCACGCGGGTCCCAGCGCGCCTCCGCCCACACTCCGCTCCCCCTCGCCTGGCAGCCCCCTCCAAGCCTGGGGCGCACTCAGCGCTGCCCTGCACAGGGGGGCACCGGGTGGCCGCAGGTCAGTTAACCCGGAAACCTGAGAGGTGCTGAGGAACCGCCCGGGCGCCCCTCCCGAGATGCTCAGCAAGGAGAGGCTGGGGTCGGAGGGGAGGAAAAGGAAGGAAGAAAAAACAACAAAATTATTTTCACAATCATTGTGACCATTCGTGTTAGTACCGGAGGGTTAACTACATGCATTATGCAACAGATACTAGGACTCTCTCATCTTCCCAAACTGAAACTCTGTCCCCAAGAAACACCGACTCCCCAGTACCCACCTCCGAATCACACTAGCAACCACCATTCTCCTCTCTGAGTCTGACTCATCTAAACTGATATTTCATACGATCTTGCAGCATTGTCTTTTTGTTTATTTGCTTGCTTATTTATTACTATTTTTTTTTAGAGATAGGGTCTCACACTGTGGCCCAGGCTGGAGTGCAGTGGTGCCATCAAAGGTCATGCATCCTGGAGCCCCTGGGCTCCAGCCATCCTTCTGCCTTGGCTCCTCAGTAGCTGGGACGGCAGGAGGGCATCCCCACGCAGGGCCAGTGTTTGACTTTTGTTATTGGGCATTTCACTCAGCATAAAGTCCTCAGAGTTCATGGGTGTTGTAGCACGTGACAGGATTTTCTTCTTTTTAAAGCCTGAATAGCACTCCGCCGCCGTATGTGTGTACCACATTTTCCTCAGCCATTTCTCTGTTGATGGACATGTAGGCTGCCTCCACCTCTTGGCAATTGTGAAGAGTGTTGCAATGAACTCAGGTGTGCAAATGTCTCTTTGAGATTTTTTTTTTCCCAGTTCTTTTGGATATATACCCAGAACTGAGACTGCTGGATCATATGGTAATTTTATTTTATTTATTAAATTTTTTGAGACTGAGTCTTGGGAGTCTTGCCCTGTCGCCCAGGCTGGAGTGCAATGGCACATTCTCAGCTCACTCCAACCTCCGCCTCCAGGGTTCAAGCACTTCTCTGCCCCAGCCTCCCAAGTAGCTGGTGCTACCGGCGCCCGCCACCACACCCGGCTAATTTTTTGTATTTTTAGTGGAAACGGGGCTTCACCATCTTGGCCAGGCTGGTCTTGAACTCCTGACCTCATGATCCACCTGCCTTGGCCTCCTAAAGCGCTGGGATTACAGGCATGAGCCACTGTGCCCAGCCTGATTTTTAATATTTTTAGGGAAATTCTGTATTATTTTACATAATGGCTATGACATGTTACATTCTGACCACAGCTCCAACTTCTCCACATCCTCATCATGACTTGTTATTTTCTGTGCTTTTTGTTTGTTTTATATTGGCCATCTTAACAGGTGTGAGGTGGATCTGTGGCTCTGACTTGCATTTCCCTGATGGTTAGTGGTGTTGAGCATCTTTTCATATGTGTGTTGTCATTTCAGAATTTTATTTGGAGTCATGTCTGATCAAGTCATTTGCCCATTTTGGTTTTGTTGTAGAGTGGTGAGGGTCACATACTCTGGATATTAACCCATTCCCTGATTCACATTTGGCAGATGATGTCTCCCATTTCCAGGTTGCCTCTCACTCTTGTTGATCGTCCTTTGTGGCACGTACGTTTTTCAGTTTGATGCAGTCCCATTTGTCTATTTTTGCTTTGGTTGCCTTGCGTTCTGTATCAAAGAAGGAAAGTCACCGGATGGGCGAAAGGACAGGTCCACCTCCTTTCCCTTCCAGCTGTTTCTTGACTCCCTGACACCAGGGATGACACGGAGCTCCAGGAGGGGCTGGAAAGGAGTGCCCTGGGCCTCCCTCTGGGGCGCGTGTGTGAAGTGTTTTCTCCAGTCACAAAAACGGCTCCCCAACATGCGTTTGCACGCCCTGCAGAATTCACCCACAGCAAGGCGCCCCTTTCTAAGAACGGAGGAGAACCCACATTGGAGCGAAGAAAACGGTGGCCAAGAGGTGGGGGCCTCGGTAGGAGAGGGGGCCCGGCTGGGGTTCCAGGGGACAGGGTCAGCTTTGGGTGGGTCCCCTCCATGGGGACCCAGCGCCCCGGGTCGCAGTGACGGCCGCCGCGGGGTCTCCCCCTGCGTACCTTCTCTTGTCTTTAAGGCAGTGAGATCCGCAGGCCTCTGGGACAGCTAGAGGACGGCAGAAACGAGCCGTGGGGGAAGCCTGGGCCTGTCTGAAAACACCACCTCAGCTCCCTCCGGGGGCCCCCTGCGTAGACCTGGCTCCAGGTGCTGAGAACCCGATTCTTGAGGGCTGCAAAGACTTTCTCCCCCATGCGCGGGGTCAGCTGGCGGCTCAGGTGCGGTTGGAGGCCTGGGCCCCAAGGGACCCCCGCCCCAGGCCGAGCCGAGTCAGCGACCCCGAGCGCGGCGCCCAGGGGTGGGGCGCGCGCCCGCAAGGCGGACAGAGCGGGTCCTCGAGACCGTTCATTAGGCAGAATGAATTGTTCACCGTGCCCGGAGTGGATGAGGACGAGCCAGTGATTATATTTAAATTTGCTATAATTGATTTGGGGAAGAGCTACTGTGACAAGAACGAATTGATCATTAAATTTATTAGCGAGATAAATTCCGCGGAGATTGAGCGGCCTGCTGGAGGCGCAGGGGCCGGCGCAGGTCCGGGGCCTGGCTCTGCTGGAGGACGGGGGAGGGGCGGCGCTATTAACAGCGTCTTCCTTTGATGTCGCTCTTTCCCCGCGTCCCAGAGGAAGCGCCTGTCCCCTGGGCGTAGAGGGACACACCCTCCGCAGAGGCCTAGGGCACCCCAGCTCCGGGCCGAGCCCCCACTCTTCCCTGGCTGCCCAGCGTTGGCGGGGGCGCTGAGGCTGGGCTGGCTGAGCCCAAGGGGAAAATAATCCCCAGATGTGGGGCCAGCCGGGGGAGAGATTGTTGCAGGCTGACTCTCACCAATGTGTTGGAAATTAAAAAGAAATGTACAGATTGCAGATTTTTAAAAAGCAAAAAAAAAAAAAAAAAAAAAAAAAAAGCATCTGTCTTCCCCCCTTCTCTCTGGTCTTCCCACCCTCGTTCTGTGGGCACTCTGCCTCTTCCCCCAGTGGCAAACCCTCTACCAGTTCCCCCAAACACCTTTGGACCCCAGGCGGCGGAGGCCCAGCCCCTGTGCCAGCGCCCGGCAGCTGCTTCTGCCTGGACTCCCAGCAGCCGCGCCCCGGCCTTGGTTGAGGTTGATTTTATGGAAGGGGCCCGGGGTGATAATGAGTTGCCAGAGAGGATATTAATCTCCCCGCGCCCTGAGGCAGAGGAGTGGCTGCGCTCGCCCCGCGGTAATCACCCAAATGAAACGCCAGGCCCTTCTGAACTCATTTTATCAGCTGGGAGGAGGGGAGGGGAGGAGGGAGGAGAAGGGCACACGCAGGTGCTGCTGAGAAAGTGACAAACAGAAGGAAGGAGGAAGGCCCGGGAGAGGAGACAGGAGCGGCGTCCCCGTCGCCCGTCTCCTCCGGGGCCAGGAGAGGCCACTAGGTCAGCGATGGGGGAAGGGGGCCGGGAGGCGCGCCGGGCTGGGTGGGCCGCGGGCCTGCGCTCCAGAGCGGGCGATAGCGCGGGCTGAGCCCGCATGTGTGGAGCACATGGCGCTGGGCCTGGCCGCGGTGATTGATGGAGCGCGCTGCAGAGGCTGATTAACCCGGAGCAGCTGCAGCCGCGGTGTGGAGCGCTGCTGCAGTCCGCTGCTGTCCTCGCATACGTGTTTGCACAGAGCCAAGAAGACCGATCCTGGCCAGCCAAGGAAGGTTCTGCCAACAGAGAGGGCCGGGGTCGAGGCGAGAGAGAAGCACCGGGCAATTCGGCGCGTTCCGGGAAATGTGCCTAAGTAGCGCCTGAGGTCGCAGGGACTCCAGATACTACTAACGCCTAGTCGTTTGAAGCTTATTTTCTGAAACGTCCAAATGGCGTATTTCCACTTCTGGAGCGCCAACGAAGCGAGAGCCCGCAAGGAAAAAGGAAAATAAATAGAATCCACAGCTCCGCTTCTGAGGGGCACGTGTCCCGGGGCGGGTGTGCACCAGGCAGGCCGGCATGCGCTGACACCTGACCACAGGTATTTTTGCCAACACTTCACACTGCGACTCCCCAGCAGGCGCGGAGGTGGTCCTGACACCCACTTGAGACTCCGATTTTCACCCTCAGCTGCCAACCGGCCGAGTAGACACCCTCCCCATCATTTCTACAAGCAAATAGTAGAGCCTCAAGCATAACCCCCAAAAACGCGTGCACGCTGATCCAGTACAAAACCAATTTATTTTACATTCCATCGTGGGCGATGGGAGAAGCTAAATAATAATTTAGCATGCATACGTAGACGTTTCTTTTTATATATAAATACAATATACAAAAATAAAGACAGTACAGTTTTGAGATTTCCAGCAGTTTGAACGCTCGTGACACAATCACCCCGAACCCAGAGACCCAGAGACGTAAGCATAAACCCTCTTTCTTTTTCCAAATACTCTGCAGAATGGCCCCTCCAGAGGCGGTTTCAAGTTTCAGAAGTCAGATAACACTGTGGGTTTCCGCCTTCTCGGACGCTGGGAAAGGGGAGACGGGAGGCTTCCCCTTGGGGAGGTGGGGGCGGGGGTCGGTTCTTCTCACAGGTACTCGCACCTCCCCCAACACCAACCAAAATTAATTTTACAAGAACCATCAAGTTGCAGCCCCCTGGGTCTCCCTCTCGCTGTTTCTCGAAGAGCAGGTGAGGAGCCCTGGCTTAAAAGGGAAGTGCCCAGGACCGGAGGCCGCGGCCGAATCCCTCCAGCCCCGGCTTCGGCGAGGGGTCCACGGGGCGGCTGCCGAGCTGGCTCTCGGGGCCGGGCCGGGTGGGTGCGGACGCCGGGGCCTCCGGGAGAAGCCGCCGGCCGGGGCGCTCCTTGCGCGCCACACCTGCTGGGCCCCGGGGCTCCTACTGGGGCGCGGGCTGGTGGCCCGGCCGCGGGGGCGGCGAGTCGTCCTCCGAGGAGCAGTCGGAGGAGGCAGTGTGGGTGCTGGCGCCATTGCTGTAGGGGAAATGGTCCTCGTCCTCGTCCTCGTCCTCCTCGGGGTCACTGTCCCTCAAGTCCCGCAGGCGGCGTCCGCTGCCCTTGTCCGCGGGCGCAGTTGGCCCCAGCAGCTCCTCCGCGCCCGGCTCCTCCGCTCCGCCCTTCCCCGCGCCCCCGCCGCCGCCCTTCTGTTTCTCCGCTTCCTGCGCCGCCTGCTCTTTGGCCTTTTTGCTGCGTTTCCATTTCATCCGCCGGTTCTGGAACCAAATCTTCACCTGCGGGCATAAGCGGGCGTGAGAAACCGGCCACCGCCACCCCAGGGCTTCCTGTCCCCAGAGTCCCCCGGCCGCGCGCGCCCCGGCCCCAGCGGGTCGGCCCTGGAATGGCCTCAGGGTGAGACGACTTAGAAGTGGAATGGGGAGGGGGCTTGCAGCTTCCTCCTCCCCCCAACCCACCACTCAGCAGCAAACCCCAGAGCTGGGCTTGAGCTCCGTGGGAGCTAGGACTATGTCCCCAACGACCCGGTCCGGGCACTTTTCTACCCGCGCCCTCCGTCTGCGGAGGAAGGGTCAGGGCAGCTGGCTACCTCGCGGTAAATCTCAGGATGTTCCCTCATCTCTTTCTGGAACAAAATTTCTCGAATGCGGCCTGGGGATCACCTTCTTCAGAATGAAAGGAGGGTGGTTAAGTGCTGACTCTTGGGCCCCACCCGAAGCTACTGAATCGGCGCTCTGGGCTCCTTAGATGAACCCGTGCACCCGCCGTCTTAACTGTCGAGGCGCAGCGCCAGATGCCCCAGACTGCCCGTGGGTCACGAGTGCAGAGGTAACCGTGTCCCCTGGGAGGCCGGGATGTGTCGGGGGCGGGGAGGGCGCGCACCTGGGTCTCGGTGAGCATGAGCGAGGTGGCCACCTCGAAGCGCTTGGGCCGCGACAGGTACTTGTTGAGCTTGAACTGATGCTCCAGCTCCAGCAGCTGCTGGCTGGTGAAGGCGGTGCGCGGCCGGCGGCACTTCCCCAGGAGGTTCGACTGCGCCTGGGCTGGGGACCAAAGGGCAATGAGGCCCACAGCCGGCTCCGGTCCTCGCCCCAGCCCCTCCCGTGGCTGCTGGTACCACTGCCCTCAAGGCCCCAGTGCCGAAGGCCTGGCCCTGCAGAGGGGCAGGGCTGTTCCCTCACTATCAGTGCTCACTCCCCAAGGAATGAGGACTCAGGACCACCAAGTGGAAATGGGTGGTTTGGGGTTAATAAGACCTTTTTTTTTTTTTTTTTGTCTGGGAGACATCTGAGTGTCCCTGTTAAACAGGGTCCATCGCAGGAGGTATCCTCTCCACATGAGCCGGCTTTGGTAGGAGTGGATTGACCCAGAGGCAAGAGAAGTGAGGCCAGTTGGGGGCCAAGATGGGAGGTTCCAGGAAGCCCAGGAGTTCAAGGCTGCAGTGAGCTAGACTGCACCCCTGTCCTGTACCCTAGGTGACACAGCAAGACCCCATCTCTCAATAAATAAAAAATAATAAAATAAAATAAAGGAGCAGAGAGTGGTGAGAACCAAATCTCTCTCCCTCTCCTCACTGCACCTTCCTAGAGATTCAGGCTCAGATCCAAACAGGTCTGGGAAGAGCTGGTCCTGCAGTTCCAGGTCTCCCTCCACTGCCTCCTTAAGACAGAAGAGGAGGAGGAGAAAAAGAAAAGGAAGGAAGGGAGAGAGGTAAGGAGGGAGGGAGGGAGGGAAGAAGGAAGGAAGGAAGGAAGGAAGGAAAGAAGGAAGGAAGGGAGGGAGGGAGGAAGGAAGGGAGGGAGGGAGGGAGGAAGGAAGGAAGGAAGGGAGGGAGGAAGGAAGGGAAGAAGGAAGAAAGGAAGGAAGGAAGAAGGGAGAGAGGGAAGGAGGGAGGGAGGAAGGAAGGAAGGAATGGAAGGGAGAGAAAACGGGTGGAACAGGACCAAACCCAGGGTCCAAGTCTGTGTATGTATTCATCAGGGACCCTCCCACCTTTCCAATGTTTTTCTTGACATGCCCCCTCCTCAGGGTGCGGGTGGTGGGGGCAAGGCCTGGGGAGACTGGAAGCCTTTTCAGGACAATTCTCATTACGCAAATTAAAGGCAGAGGCGCAGGCAGGATCCGGTTCTCTGTGTGTTCCAGGAGGCCTGCCCGGCTTTATTTACATAATTTCGCACGGTTACATCACAGAGAATTTTATGACCTCAAAACGAGACTTCCCTTGATTTCCCAGGAGCCTGACAAGTGTTGGACAATAAAAGAAAGAAAGCAAAGGAAAGAAAGGAGGCCAGCCCCAGGCCTGGATGAGCTCAGGTCCCCGGGGATGGGCAATTTGCTTTAGAGGATGGCCCACGCCCCCTGCTTTAGTCAAACAAGGCCCCGAATTCCCAACTTGACAATACATTAGAACTTTAATTAAAACACTGGCTCTGGAGGGACCATTTGGGAAATGCCATCCCACAGGCAGAAACAACCAATTAAAGAAACCAAACAGGGTTTCCCTGTGACCAGCGAGGAGGACTTCTCAGAACACATTCTGCCGTCTTTGGCACGATTATGCCTGCCCTTTTGGGTTGCCAGGTGCAGATTCCTCTTCTGAACTTAAAGCTGGCTGTGTTTAGAATTTGGCCAACTCTAGGTCAACATTTGGAATCAAACAGGCAAGGTGTGTTGGGAAAGGTGTCTCACTTTAATAAATTTTCTGAGTGACCTTGGGCTCCAGAGAGCGCCCCGGTGGCCAGGGAGTCCAGGGCCCTAGCAGGCCTAGGACCATGGGCCCCTGGGCTGGCCGCCCCCTCCGTGGGCGACTTAGCGTCCTTAGCTCTGGGAAATGCAGTTCATATTGGTGGCTTTCTATCAGAAGGGCTGGGCCCTGGGTCGGCAGCCAGGCCCAGGAGGGCGCCCTGGGTTTAAGCCCAGGCTGGCAGGAGATTCGCAGACCCAGAAGTGTCTGAGGTGAGGGGCAGCTTTCCCTCTTCCGGCTGGAGTCAGTGGGGCTGACTTTCCCAAGTGAGGGATGGGTGGCCACTGAGCTAGGAAAGCCTGGGGCGGCTGTGGGCAAACAGCGTTCTGCAGGGATTTTCTCACTCCCTTGTGACTTCTCCAGCCTCTGGGGTCCTAGATTTTCTCTGTTTAGTCACAATCACAGCTTCCAGCAAAGGAATCTGAATTCTGGAGTGTTTATTTCTGTTTTCTTTTTTGCTTTTCCCCTGCTCTGCCTGCATCTCCCCAGTCTAAACAAATTCACTCAGACAGAAACAATGGGGTCTCTTTGTTTGGGTGTTCGGCAGCTGAAAGCGTTGAGCGGAATGCATCTTCTGCTCAGCCCGACTCAAAAGTAGCTTACCCCGATGGGGCGATCGGGGAGAGCCAGAGCCCCGGAGTCCCAGCCCTGAGAGTCCGCGTGTGCCAGGAAAGCCTGAGGGGCCCAGGCCTCCGGCGAGGTGTCCCGCCCGGATGGAGAGGAAGCTGCCCGAAGCCCAGCGGCTCTGGGGTGGGGGCTCCCTCGGCCCCACCTTGGAGGAGCATTCGTTACCTTGTTGGGCGCCCGGTATACCAGGCCAGGTATCTACTGTTTAGAATCTCCCCATAGCTGGTTCAAGCCAGGCCACCTGCCTCAGCCATCGCACCCCGGATCCAACGCCCTTCCAGAGGAGGGCAGCGCCCTGGTAAAAGCCAGGGGTTCCCTGCGCCCTGGCCTTGCCTCCCCGGGCCTCGAAGCCTATTTCTCTTGTTTGCTGCTCCTGAAGCACTCCCTCTCCCTGGAGGGGCTGCGGGTGTCTCTAGCCCCGAATGGGGGACCTGGCCCAAGTTCCCTTCCCCGGTGATAAGCCCTGACCCCCATTCCCGGGCCTGCCTAATTCAGGGCGCTCTCCGTTCGCCTTGCCCGGCGACTTCCTTCTCTTGCAGCCTTCAGGTTAATCATTAGATCTCAGTCTCACACCTCCAACTGCCCCTTCCCGTTAAGAGAGGAAGAGAAGGCAAGGCCTGCGCATGGCCATTTTAATAATTCGCCGCCCGTCTCACGCCTGGGGGTCCAGGCGAGTCCTCGCAGGCCCCGGGCAGAGCCGAGGCGGCTTCGCAGCGCTTCCCCCGCTCGCTGGGAGCCAAGCGAAGAGAGGGGCAGGCGGTGCCGGGTGGAGGATGCACGAGGCCTTCCCGCCCCGCGCATCCACGGGGGCCGCAGGGTACTCACAGTTAAAGTCGGGCATCTTAGGCAGGATCATGCCCGCGGTGGATGCGCGCAGCCACTGGTCCAGCTGGAAGGTGCCGGCGCCCAGCTTGATGGGGTCGGCGGGGTGCGCGGGGTGCGCGCCCTGCACCTGCGGGTACGAGTAGGAGAGCGCCGGGTGCTGGCCAGCCAGCGCAGCCGCCGCCGCCGCCGCGGAGTAGCCGTAGACCGGGTGGCCGTAGAGCGCCGCCTGCGCCGGGAGGCCCGCGCCACCCTGCGCGCCCCCCGGGTGCAGCCCCAGTGCCAGGCCCCCAGCGGCGGCCGCGGCGGCGGCGGCAGCGGCAGCGGCCGCTGCGCCCGGAATTGCGCGTGGTGGTGGGGGCCCGCGTGCCCGCTGCCCGTGGTGGTGGGGGCCCGCGTGCCCGCTGCCCGTGCCGCCGCCGCCGCCGCCCGCGCCCAGGAAGCCCGGCTTGGGCAGCAGCGCGCAGTGCGCGGCCAAAAGGCGCGGCGGAGACGGGCTCTCGGCGCGCAGGCGGTCGGCGGGCGCAGCCGGCGGCTCCGAGGACGTGGGGCTGCAGCTGCCGCTCGTCCCGCCGCTCGCCCCGCCGCCGCCCCCGCCACCTCCGGTGCCAGATGCGGCGGCAGCGAGGGACGTGACCAAGGCCAGCGGCGCGCTCTGCGTAGAGGCGGCTCGCGGGGGGTCCACTGCCAGCAGGGCGTCGATGCGGAAATTTTTGGATTTTTCCATCGGCTCGTTTGGGGTTGGCGCTCAGGGCCGGGTGGCGGGCGACGCGGCCGTGTGCGGGGTCGCGGAGTCAGCGCGTGCGGCGCAAGCCCGGGGTCTCGGTATTGTTATGGTGGTGATTTGCCAATAATCAAAGTCGCCGCCGGAAACTCAGCCGAGGGTGACCATGGTCCCGGCGCCTCCTCCGTGCGGGCCCCGCCCTGGGCCGCGCTCGCACAAACTTCCACGCGAGTGCTTCCCCGCGTCCGGGCCGGGGAGCCCGGCTCTCTGCGCTCCAGCCCTTAGGCGACCGCGCCGAGGCCGCTGGCGCCGTGCTGGGGACCCGCGCCCCTCCGCGCACTTGAAGCTCAGCGCGGCCTCCGATTGGCGCGCGCAGCGGGGGCCCGGGGAGGGCCGCGGGCTCCGCCATTGGCCGAGGGGCGCACCTGTCACCGTCCCGGCCGCCCGGCGCCCCGCCCCCGCGCCGCGAGGTCCTAAGCACCCCGGGCTGTTGCGCGGCGCTGGCGGGCGGGGACACCGCCGGGGAGTGGATACTCCGAGGCGCAAACTGGGTCCTCTGCCCGCCCTCCCCTGAATGCGGAGCCGGACGGCGGGCACTGGCAATCCCCGGGGCCCTGGAGAGCCCCGCGGCGGCCCAAGACCCGCTCCTGAGACACCTGGCCCCCTCCGGACTTGGTTGGTCCCTGGAGCCAGCTGCGCGCGTCCTTTCCGGCCTCCTTGTCGGCGCTGGCGTGGGTCCACGTCTGCCTCGCGGAGCACGGTGGTTCCACGCTCCTGAGCGCCCATGCTGAGCGCAGACCTGGCCGATTTGCGAGGCGACGGCAGCGCACTGAAGACCGTGGTGTTTCCCAAGCCCTCCCTGCTCCCGGGTCTCCAGGGCGCAGCAGGGGAGGGTTTTGTCCCCGTGACCAAAGCTCTGCAGGTCGAACCTTATCTGCACTGGGAAGGCCCCGCATTTTCAGGTGTGTGTGCGGGAACGTGGGGTTGTAAACGCGCATGTGAGTGTGAGTTTGGCCTCCACGAGTCCTCGCTGGGAGCCCCTGCCACAGTCAAGGCGGAGACGGCAGATATGGGCGCCCTGGCCTGCAGGACCAAAGTCGACTTGCAGACGTCGCCCACGTGCTTGCTCAGTGGAGCGAGTCCTCGGTGGCAAAGCTCTTCCTCGCTGCCGAGGGATGCCCGTGGGCTTGCGGGAGTCGAGGTCCACACACCTCGGCCCTGAAAAACCCGTAGGGCCCGTCATCCTTCGGAAGCCCTGCCGCTCCGACCCCCGGCCAGTCCCCGGGCAGGAGCGGGGAAAGACGGTCTCCTGGGGCCTCCTGGGAAGTGGAGAGGAAAGGGCTTCCCGTGAGTGAGGCACGGAGTGAGCACCCAGATCTCACCCCCACCCCCCACACGCACACTTCAAATATTTACAGTAAAACCACTTCCAAGGACGTTTTTGAAGCTGAAAGAATCAACACAGGGGTCGGGAAGTCAAGCGGCATCAACACCAGGCTTTGTCAATAGCGCCATTAGACCCAGTTATCTTCCCCAGCAAGCGTGAGAACCGGGAGGGAGTTCCAGGTTCCAGGGCTTCCTATGCAGGTGAGAGGTGAATAAAGGACCGGAAGGGGCTGTGGAGAGGGGAGAGAGCCAAAGAGAAACCAGTGCCAGGTAAACTTCAAAATTAGCAGGCCAGGTTGCTACCAGAGGGATTTTTTTAAAAGGCAAATAGAGAGACCTTGCCACTTCTCTTCAAAAGGCTTTTTACCTAGGCGAGAGTTGATGACAGTGACTTTGTTGGCATGAGTGATATCTTTTTCATTATAACACAGGGTAGTTCCCAGATGCACAGGACTGGTTGGAAGGTTAGGAGGATGGCAATGGATGAATAACAGCAACTTGGAGTAAATGTGATCTAGCTTTGCAGAGCGACCACTGGGAAAAAGAAATCACCGGCATTCACACGGAGTTTGTCGTGTCTTTAGATGTCTTTGTGGTGACAGAAATGCACTTCTGCCTCCAAGTGGAGAGAGGGAAACACTCGCATTTCTTGAACACCTACTATGTGCTACGCGCTTTCTAGAATTCTCATCCTTGATCTTCACTCTGACACTAGAAGGAAGATTTTTATCATCTCCATTTTCTTTTCTTTTCTTTTTTTCTTTCTTTCTTTCTTCCTTTTCTTTTTTTTTTTTCTTTTTTTTTTTTTTTTGAGATGGAGTTTTGTTCTTGTTGCCCAGGCTAGAGTGCAATGGCACGATCATGGCTCACTGCAACCTCCATCTCCCAGGTTCAAGCGATTCTTCTGCCTCAGCCTCCCCAGTAGCTGGGATTACAGGCATGTGCCACCAGGCCAGGCTAATTTTTGTATTTTTAGTAGAGATGGGGTTTCACCATGTTGGTCAGGCTGGTCTCAAACCCCCGACCTCAGGTGATCCACCCACTTCGGCCTCCCAGAGTGCTGGGATTACAGGTGTGAGCGACCGCACCCGGCCTATCATCTCCATTTTCTAGAGTACAGGTTTAGAGAGTTTGGGATCCTTGTTCCCAGCAGGCAGTTCAGCCTTAGAGCTGGGAGTGGAACCAGGTCTGACTGCAGAGGCCACACTGTTCCCACCCTGCTGCCCTCGAAGCTCTCAGGTACACCCAGCCCTGAGTCCCCATCCCATCTGTTCCTTTTTGGGTGGGGGAAGGCTTGTAAAGGAGACCAGAGATTCTTAGCCACCTGTCCCAGGCAAGAAGCCCTAGCTGTGACTCTGCCTCCCCAGGGTAGAGAACACAGCCTTGGCCTCCTCCTCCTCCAGGGGTTTGGTGCCAAGACTGACTTGCGTTTCTCATCTCATCACCCCCGTCTGCTGGGGGCAGGTTGCTTGGTCCTGAGGTCAGTGATGTAGGAAGCTGGGGGAAGGGAGTGGCTGCAGAAGAAATCTCCCAGGATGGACCTTGGAGAAGATGCTGTTCCTCTCTCCAGCCGAAAATACCCACTGCCAGGGTAATTTTAATTGGTGATAGGGTGTGTAGTCTAGACTCATGACATCAGCCATCTCCCTCAACAAAATCACAGTAGGTGTTTTCTGGCTTTTTTTTTTTTTTTTTTTTAACTCCTAGAGGAATTCATTTCACCTCTTTTTGTTCTGCAGTAACCATGGTCCAAAACCCCTTCACACCCTGTCTCGTGTTTCTATTCTGCCTGAGACCTGCTGAGGACACCTTCCTGAAAACACAGACAGGACAACATGTGTGCAGGTCCTTCAGGTGTCTGTACCACTTGTGGTGCTGTGCAAGGCTGTCCGAGGAGGCCTGGCATAGCAGCCCTGCGTTCTGTCCGGACCGCCCCTCTAGCTGAGGCGCCATTTCAGGAGTCTGAAGCTCCTTTTCTTGATGGATTTGTTTCTTTGTCTACAGAAGCAGGGGTTGGACCAAATGGACTCTAAGGTGCTACAGGGCCTTAAAATGATCCGATGTTCTACTTATATTTAAGAAAACGTTATATAAAGCGGAGGCTGTCTGTAAAGTTGCATGGAGAGAGGCAGGTGTGGGGGAGAGAGGGGCCTATCTGGGAAGTGTAGATCTTTGTGTGGTTTACAACGTGTGAGGTGGAACCTGCTGGGTCTCTTCCTGTTCCCAGTATCTGTATTGATCCAGACCAGCTGGCTTTGGGGCAGACTGGAGCTGGGCTTGGGTCTTGGGAAGGGCCACAAAGAGAGATCAAAGGTCTGGTCCTAGTAGTGCTCCCAAACCTGAGTCTCCAGGTGAGTTTTTTCTCCAGCGGCCCCAGGGGCAAAGCTCATCCCTGGAGAGCTCTCCCTAGAACTCTTGGTTTCTCAAGACAGGCAGAGAAGGCCTGGTGCACCCTAATCAGCTGGCTCCCACCGCAGCTCCTCCCTGCCCGCCGCAGGTGCCTGCTTTCTACAGGCCTCCTGTGAAGGAATTAAAGAGTGCCTGCAGCTGCCCTTCCTTCCACTACTTGGGAAGGAGATGGTGATTTCTACAAACCATCGCAAAAGAAAACGCTGTTGTAGTCTGTGTCTATTTACATCTGGACTTACACACGCAACTGGGAATCTGTGAGGATTGGGGGAAAAACCTGTACATTCACATATTCACAAGATGCGAGGCAAGTATCATGCATTTATTTATCATGTAGATATTGCTTTTTTCCACGTGAAATGGAGCAGGTGCCTGGAAGGGCACTCAGTGGCTGAAGCAGGGGGCAGATCTTGCGTTTCTAAAACTGAAGCCGAGGGCCAACAGAGAGGATTTGGCTGCAGAGGGGCCCAGGCACATTAGTCCCGTCTTGCTGAAGCCATGTGGTCTTCAGGGACTCACGCAGTTCCGTTTCAATGTAAACTTTCAAGGCTTTCTTCAGGAAACAGGCATGAAGATGCCATGTAACTGGCCAGAGGTCGGGACCTAAGCGCACGTTTGAGATGAGACTGGCCTCTGGCACAGGAAGTAGTTTAGTCGTGTTTGAGATGAGACTGGCCTCTGGCACAGGAAGTAGCTTAGTAAGGCTGGAGTGGGAGCCCAGAGGGCCAGGACAGGAATGCTGGGAGATGCTCCGACCTCCTTCCTGGAGCTCAGAGGGAAAGAGGATCTGCGGAGAGGGCCTAGGGTCACTGGAGCTGGGGACATCTGCTCAGGTCCCCCCACCCACCCCAGCCCCTTCAGAGCCACGAGGCCAAAGGCATCGAGTCATTAGTGCTGTCCTTTGATCTGCTGACCTCCTCTATGACCCCTGGGAGCTGGGCCTTAAAGGAGTCTGGAAAGGGTGGGCTCAGGAGTAGCAACCCAAAGACTCGCAGCTCAAACCCTCAAAGCGAGGCGGGGCCTGAGATGGGCCCAGATCTGCTGTGTGCTCCCCTGTATGGGTGTTCTCCCTCAGCCCCTCTTCAGCCTCTCCCTGCAACCTGGATTTCCTGTTGCCATTTTAGAGGGCACCCTCACCCCAACTCCTTTCGCAGGGCCAGCACCACCCAGGCTTCACCGGGAATGTGAGCCCCCCAGAACACCCCCAAGTCACTGGCTTGACCCTCTCCTCTGGGCCCAGCCCTGGCTGCAAACAACCAGCCCCTACCAGGGGACTTGGCGAGAAGTTAGGGAGATGCCACAGGATTTAAATTAGTCAAATTCAGTGACCCAGGGGCCTTCTATTTTTAGAAATTTCCTCCAGAGACAAAAATCTCTGCTTCCTTCCAGACCTTGGGCAGCCTCCTAGCTTCCCTGGACCCTGAAGGGAAGGGACAGGCCTGGCCACCTTGGGCTCAGCTGCTGGCCCAGGTCTCCTTCTGACACAAGGAGGTGAAATCCTTTCCAGCCTCTTCGAAGCTTCTTGTATCATAAAGAGAAACAAACCTTGGGAGGGAAGGG